TGCTTCAGTACATCCCTCATGTTATCCCGCACAAAAATGTAAGTTTCTGCATCCGCACTGCTTGGATTTAGGCACAGCTATCTTAAAGTCGATTTAAGGTAAATTCATTCCCTGCATTAAGCATAAAAATGTTTTGTTACTTGCTGTGCTCCCTCCTTCCTCGGATACAGTCCTGTATCAATCCAACACTGTGCCCATGTGTTGGTCTCCTCTCTTCCCGCTTTCACAAGCTTGACTGAGTAAGACAAATCCTGTGAGCTGAGAGCAGGAGATGGAGCCGAGCCGTGCTGTGTGTGTGTCAACGGACGCACACAGCCGGGTTCTGAATTAAGCCCCACACATCTTCCCCCATAGCAAGTGCTTGCTATGGAGTTAGACGGAGGAGGGAAGGAGCCAAGATCACTGGTGGGGGGACCCCAGAAGAGCAGGTTCGGGGATGCTTTGTGCAATACCATTGCACAGAGAAGGTGAGTATACCATGTTTATTATTTACATAAAAATTGCTTTTTAAGACCGCTTAAATGATGCTTGCCAGTCTTACAGGTGATTGTTTCTTTCTTGCAGAGAGTACTTTTGTTCAGAAATATAGTAACTAAGGAAAAGGAGAAACTGGGTTTGGTGGAAACAACCACAGCGTCTCCACATGTTACTCACATCACTATATAAGAAGGTCACGTATGTTGGAGGTAGGTTCAAATTCAGAAAAACAAACCAGTGTTTATTCACTTTTTTTTGTCAGTAACTATCTTGTGATCAATCTTTTCTAAAGGAACACTGTCACAAAAATATTATAGTATGATAACTGTATTTTTTTAACAAATGTAATGATAGTATTTAGGTTTACGGTTTCGTTTCGTTCTTGCCCATTGAGTGATAGAGAAAGTCATATGTTGTCAGATTATACTGCTGTCTACATGAGGATTGGACATACAAAAAAAATGTATGCCAGCCCAGGATAACCCCTCCTATTCTTAGCATTCCTCAGTTTTTTACTAGTGTCCCAGAAAGATGGACATCTTTTCTTTAGCTCTGCTGGGAAGAGTCTAACCATGTTTTTAAGTTTTTTATTTTTCAGTCAAGATTCCTCACTACATCATTGCATAAGCTCGTGTCTTCATGGCAGCTATCCGGTTTGGCCTTTCCTTAGCTTTACGTTGGGGTGGAGTACCTGGACCACACAGGACTGGTCTTTGTGGAGCTAGCGGATCTTTTGGGCTCTGTTTTCTGCATGTGGCATGTTCTGGCACCATGTACTGGTAAAAATTGAGCACTTCCCAGGGCCAGAGCCATAGCATTACCTCAGAGCTTGCCCTTGCCCTTTTGTGAGTAGCTCGTTCAAGGTAAACACTACGAGCTAACTCATTATTTGATCTTCTGGGTGCCAGATAAACTGCTGGTTTATCACAGAAGGGGTTAACTCTGAGGAATTGGGTGTTAATATCATCACCTGGGCAGAGTGTCACATTTTTCTGCTGCTACTACAGCCTGAAAAAGCCATGTGGAACATTTATCCTCTATTATTTCCTATAGCCTGTCTATAGTGCCTTGATCATCCCTGGCCATCTGCCCTTACACCTCCTCCCAGCACTTGGGTTCATGAGTACCTAGTTCTACAATGCCTTTTCTACTCACAGTGCAACTTGTTTTAATTCTAGGATGCCAGTTCCACTGTACTGGGTGCCTTCAGCTCACACTCCACTAATCTGCTAATGCAGCCAACATTTGCATCTTAGAATTTTGCCCTCTGCTACAGTCTGTCATTTTCAGAGTCTTTTCTAGTCCTGTCATGCACCAAAAAAAGTACAGACAAAAAGAGAGCAAAACGGGTGCAGGAACATTGTTAAAACTTAGTATTTTATCTTTAATTAAAATTACCATCACAATCACATTAAAGTAAGTAATCTTCATCATGAAAAACATCCACAGAGCCAAGTGACTGGAAATCCAAGCACTGGCACATTATAAACGCAGGAGAGTTGTCAAATGTGGCATTAGTGGCTACAGTCTTCGACAGACCAACTTGCCCTTGAAAAGTCGCTCTCTTCTGCCATCACTTCAACCTGAAAGAGACCGTTTCGACTCTTGTTGATGCTGTGCACATGACTTTGATGCTTGAGTATCAGCCTTTCGCTTCTGTCAGCGCTGCCCCCAGTCTAGGATCATTTAGAGCTCCTAAGGTTGTCAAGACCTCCCCGGTGCACATGCTGTTCTTATTCCTTTATGGAAACTGAAAATATCCGAACAAGCTGTTTGTACCTCTCAATTGCCTATCATTCCTTTATCCATTTGAGGTGGACTTTGTTGAACAGCAGCTGCGCAGCAGATCTAGCAGTACCCCATCTTAACAAAGCATCCACCATTACCATACGTAGTTTGCACTTAGCCTAGCAGCACTAGGGTCGCCGACTCGAATCCCTACCACGGTACTACCTGCACAGAGTCTGCATGTTCTCCTTGTTTCTGTGTAGGTTTCCTCCACACTCCCACACTTCAAAGACATGCTGGTAGATTAATTGGCTCCTGTCTAAATTGTCCCTAGTATGTGTATGTATATGAGTTAGGGACCTTAGATTGTAAGCTCCTTGAGGGCAGGGACTGATGTGAATGTATAATATGTATGTAAAGTGCTGCGCGAATTGAAAGCGCTACATATACCTGTAAGTACCTGTAATGAATATGTCCTACTGGAGGGTGCACTTGCCTTTAAGGACTCCACCAGAGGCCCTTTCTACAGTTCTGTTCTACTTGACAGGTCCTGTGCTGCAAAGTATTAGCTTTGACTGTGATCTGTCAAACAATGGCTGACTGGTTTAAGGCTATTAGAATGGATCTGATCACTTTGAGCTACAGCATTGACAGGTTGCTGAACTTTGTTCCCTTATGAGTCTCCTGTCGGCATATATGAGGGGGGTACGTTGGTTAGGTGTTAAGTATTCGGTTGCAGAGTCTGCATCCAAAAAAAATCACTTGATCCGCATGGCCTTCAAGGAACAATGGCTCTTCGGGGATGCCCTCATCAAGGACCTCACTGGTGGCAAGAATATTAATCTTTCCTCAGCCAAGAAAGCCTCACCCCTTGATGGAGGCCAAGAACAGTCTTTTTGTTACTCCTTGGACTCAAACCTCCACCTCAAATCTCAAGACCCAGGTCTGGTCTACCGGTTCAGCCACAAAGCTTAGAATCAGACAAGTGGACTGCTAAGCTGAACCTCCCATCTGGATGGTTATTAGTTAGAGATTGCCACAGCAGTGACATGGACTAACCATTAGAGCGGAAACAGAAGTCTCACCATGGCAAGAGAAGTAAAGAGGATCCTGTCCTAGGCAGAATTACATGCTCCAGCCCTGTCTGCCGTTTACATCCCAGATGTGGACAAAAGGCATATTTCCTCAGACAGCTGTTCTATGCATGAATGTAAAAAATCTTCTGCATGCAGCTTCCCCTCCAGCCCTCCTTTTACTCACCTGAGCCTGATCTCGATCCAGCGATGGGCACAAGAGCAGATGGGCTCTCCAGGTCTCTCTCTCCTCGTTGGCTTAGACACAGCAGCAGGAGCCATTGGCTCTCGCTGCTGTCAATCATAGCCAGTGAGGAAGGGGCAGAGCTAAGCCCCGCTCTGTGTGGCTTATGGACACACAGAGCTGGGCTTGGGAGCGAACATGAATGAGTGCCCGCACAGCAAGCTATTTGCTATGTGGTCATTCGGTGAGGGGAGAGCCAGAAGCACCGGAGGGGGACCCACAGAGCAGGTAAGTATAACATGTTTGCTATTTTTTTTTTTTTTAAATTTACATTTAAACCTTTACAATCACTTTAAAGTGGTAGTAACCACCGCTTTCTCACTTGAACCTACGGTTACGCTTATAAGCTTATCTGTAAGTACAAGGAATATCTCCTTAACATGCACTGTTTAGTAGATTTTTACTGCCTCTGCAGCTGGTGACATCACCGATGCATTCGCACTGGGCTCTGAAGAGATGACATGCTGTCTCTTCAGAGTACTTTGCAATGGCTCCCGCGCACATGCGCAGGAGTGGCATCATCACAGCTGAAGCCCTCAAACCCGAGAGGAAGATTGGGTGAAGATGGAAGCCCTGTCAGCAGTGGCTTTGAGCCGCTGGAGGGCTTCGTTTTAGGGTATTCTAGCCCATTATGCTTTTAACTTGCAGAGGGAATTTTTTTTTTTTTTGTAACAGCCTAGAGATTTAAATCAATGAAATAAAGGTTCACTATTGTAATTACCCCTGGCGGTCTTCACACCTTCATTCTGGAAATGATCACCACCACTGGATGTTGCCAGTCTTCTGGATTTATTGACCGTGTGGGGTTTGAATTACTAAACCTGGAGAGTGCAAAATCTTGTGCAGCTCTGCATAGAAACCAATCAGCTTCCAGGTTTTATTGCCAAAACTTAATTGAACAAGCTGAAGTTAAAAGCTGATTGGCTACCCTGCATGCCTGCACCAGATTTTGCGTGCACCAGTTTTTGTAAATCTACTCCTAAGGGTCATTCAACACATTTCCTCTAATATCAAGCTTTCATGAACTCACTCACAGAATGTGTCATTACGGTAGTCTGGGCTCACTGTACTACTTCACTAGTATTACAGTGCAGCGGTAAGTTGAAGAGGTAGGAGCCATAACATCATACGTGAAATAGCAACTTTTGCCTGGACATACTGTATTTTTATACCTTGTAATAAGAGTATCTGTGCTGAACATCTTTACATGTGATTTCTTGTTATAGACTGCATCATTTTAATTATAGCCATTGACTTTGCCTGTGCAAGTGAAGTCAAGTAAAATTCTGTGTTTATCATGTTTTTTTTTTCTCTTGTGTTAGCCTTTTGTTACATATCCTTGTGTTTCATGTTATGATGGAGAGAGTGCAGAAGTTTCAGAGAGAAAACAATGCATTTCCAAATATGAACACATATTTACAGCTTATTTGTGCAATATACTGTTTTTAACAATAACTCCAAATTTCATAGGTGTATTAATTTTATAGGATGGTTATGACCAGCTGAGGCAGTTGTCACAGAATGCCATGAAAGGTGTCATCAGAGTAAAATTTGTCAATGACCTTGGGGTTGATGAAGCTGGAATAGACCAGGATGGTGTTTTTAAGGAATTTTTGGAAGAAATTATAAAGAAAGTGTTTGATCCAGCACTGAATCTGTTTAAGGTATTTAAATTATACTCGGGCACGGGTTTGATGTTAAGTGTACATACAACCTAACAATGAACTTCTTGTTTGTTTCCTTTTGGCCTGTTGAATTATATATTAATCAAACCGTACAGGACGCAGGAATTGTATTCATAGACTAGGTTGTATGCAAGCTACTTTTAGGTAAATTTTCTCTTTTTTCAATCTCAAGCATGCAACACGTGGCCTGTCTGACAAAAGCTAAAACTAATAAATAGCGCTGCGCTATCGGCGTGCTAAAATAATTGCTAATGTGTGTTATCTTACAATCACATATATGTACATATCGATAATGGACACATCAATTGTAAACAAATAAAACAATGGATGCAACGAAAAAAAACTTGAAATACCATATAGTGATAATGTGCTCAATAAAAGTCCTAATTGAATATATTTACAGTCTGTGTACTTTTACACTTAATAATAGTGCCAAACATTCATATTGAGTGCATGCATGTAATTCTTGCACTTGCTGATTCAAATTGCCTACAAACCAGAGAAACTTGGTGCTGTGATATATATCCTTTCTCTTGTGCCATCGTAGTGCTCACAGTTCCTTCACCTTCAATATATGACCCGCAATAAATGCAAGGTCATACAATGCATAATTTATATTGACCAGGTACTCCTAGATGCTTGGATGCCCACCTGCACACTTGTAGTATGTTCACCAGGACCTGTCCACTATGGTGCCCGCCCTCGCTCTTAGGTTGTCATCCAGGAAAATTGGGTGTAGGTCCATTTAAGTCACTCACAGCCTCCAATAGTGTAGTATTTAAAATGTTTAACACTTTTTAGTATTAAAAACCGCCGTCACATTGTATTTAAAACAACTTGCATATCTTTAAAAAAAATTCAGAAATACTGCTATTGTTTGAAATTGTGTCACTTCCATTCCACGCCACCCAGGCTCCACCCAAAGAATTTCATCTTGGGTCACATGACTTCATGAAAGAGATGGATAGACTAAATTGTACTTATTTACAAGTAGATTGTTCATAATGGGTGGTCGCCATTTTTGGAGATATGCATATAGCACTTTGCTGCAGCTATCATCCCTAGGATATTCCTATAGAACTCTATGGCAGCCATTTTCTTGAGGGTATCAGGATAAACTGTGGCCATTCTGTTGTAGCTCAGCATATACTTATATGGCAGCCATTTTTTAAATGACAAATCACTCGCTTTCCTTGGTCGCCATTTTCCTGAGGGCTGTACACACATGGCATCCGTACTAATAGGGGTGTAAAGTAAATGTTATCCACACTCCTAGTATAATGGCAAATGCTGAGAAAGTGGTATATATACTGAAACTGCGCTCCCAATATAATGATGTACAAGGCTTACAATCACACAGCAAAAAAAAAACCTAAGTCATAAGATAATACTTACAAATAAACAGGTTGAACCAGGTGAGTAAACATAAACAGGGTATCTATGCCTAAAGGTGCTAAGCACTGTAATAAGGTGCATACCTTATTAAAACAACTAATGTTTTATGCTAATAACAATACAATCCAACTACATAAAAATACAATGAAAATAAAAGAAAGATAAAATTAAAGTTAAAATAACCCTAACTTGCATAAGTTTAATAGCTGAACAGGGACCCTACAAGAGAAACCATAAACAGGACAGGGATAGCAACCTCATTGATTGTACATTTTACTGTGTCAAAGCCCATAATAATGGACCTGTTGATTAATCAAAAAGCCTGTGTGTGACTGTCCTAAGAAGCCTATCCCTTTAGATACTCCAGATATTTGAAATCACTAGTAAAACAGTTACGATAAAACTCAACGTTGAGTCCTTGTGGGACCAGTGTTTTAAGAGTGTGGATCCATCTCGATTCTTGCTGAGGTTTCTAATTTTGTTTACTGCCTCGTCAGCTCTTTTTTATGTTTCAATGCACCAAAACAGTAAACGAGAGGGGTCTTGGTTGTGGAATTTGGCAAAATGTTTAGTTAGATTATGCTTACTACACCCCTTAATGATGTTTTGTATATGTTCTTGTAATCTGACTTTGAAGGGCCTTTTAGTTCTACCAACGTATTGCAGGCAGCATGGCCACTGCAAGACGAAAACAACCACCTCTGTGCTGCTGGTAATGAAGTCTTTAATGGGAAATTGCCTTCCTGTACTTGTGGCTAAAAATCCCATCCTCTAAGGCTGGCCATACATTATACAATTATCTTCCAATTTTCTGCCAATTTCCTTTAGATTTACCTTCAACTGTGTAGTGCAAGGGCCTGCCTAATTGGATATAACTGAAAGTGTTGTTTAGGTTTGTCCTCCTATTATATGGTTTTTGGTAAATCTAAAGCAAAAATCTCCAGATAATTGTATAATGGGCAGCACAGTGGCTAAATGGTTAGCACTTCCGTCTGGCAGTACTAGGGTCGTTGGTTCGTATCCCAACCCTGGCACCACCTGCCTGGAGTTTGCATGTTCTCCCTGTGACTGCGTGGGTTTCCTCCGGGTACTCCGGTTTCCTCCCACACTCCAAAGACATGCTGGTAGTTTAAATTGGCTCCTGTCTAAAATTGGCCCTAGTATATATATATATGTATGAATGTGAGTTAGGGACTTTAGATTGTACGCTCCTTGAGGGTCAGGGACTGATGTGAATGTACAATATATGTATGTAAAAGCGCTGTGTAAATTGATGGCGCTATATAAATACCTGTAATAAATAAATAAATAATGTATGGCCAGCCTTAGTGTGTGGTTTCTGTGCATGATTCATTCATTGACCCTTAGGTATGTTGATCAGCCAGGAACCATGATGGCAGCTGATGGATGGAGTATAACTGTTTCAGTCTACAGCATTGAAATGTGTTTTAGTTATTATGTTGTTACTTTCTAACTTGATATGCCATGATAGTCATATATTCTTATCGTTGTTATTCAAAGTCTGAAGGAATTATTGAAGACTATGTTCGTCTCCTCTTCATATAATGATCACATCATTGATAAATCTTTTATAAAAGACCATTTATGGGGGTGTGTTTTGGTATATAGCTTCCTTTTCCCACTTGAACATAAATATATTGGCAATACTTGGCGCACATTTTACACCCATGGTTATGCCAGTGCTCTGTTTGTAGAGTTCCTGATTACACCAGAAATAATTATTCTTCAAACAGAAAACCATGCATTGTATTAGGTATTTTTTCTGCTTGCATTTCAAGTTACTGAGTTTTACATTTTGTGGCCTCCAGCATTTTTGGATGGTTAATAATTGTATACATGGTTGCTACATTCACCATGGCTAGTACTAATGGTTCTTCCCCCACCAGTATATTTTCCATCAATTGTAATACATGTTTTTGTGTTTCGTAAATACCCCCTTGTTTTCTGTACAATCAGTTGAAGGAAACCATCGATAAATTGTCCCATGCAGGCAGTCACTGAATTAATGCCATTAACTATAGGCCTTCCAGGAGGAGTTTCTTTGTCTTTATGTATTTTTGGTACTGTGTATATAATAGGTATCCTACACACATCTGGAACCAGATACCTAGCCTCTTGTTTGTCAAGAATATTCTTTCAAGATCCTAATTGTTCTACTATTTCTAATTTCTTCTTATACTTTAGGGTCGGATTTCCTGCCAATTTTTGATAGGTCTCAGTGTCATCCAATAGTCTCTGCATCTCATTTTGACTGGATCACAATCTCTCCCCTTTTGTCTGCTGGCCATATTACTATGTCATTTCTGTACACCAAGCTCTTGAACCCTCTTCTAATTGTGGCTGGATCAGCTACTTTCTCAACTTTTAGGTTATCCAGATCCTGTAAGACCAGCTTCTTAAACACTTCTGTGCTGAATTTCCGGATCAGTTTGTGTAACTGTGGTGTGGTTCTCCAGGGGGTATATTAACATGTACGTTATTATGTTAAGTTTCCTTAAGTATTTTTGCTCTCCTACAAAGGTTTCAAATTTATTTTAGGGGCATATTTTAATCCTTTGTCCAGTACTAGCATTTCATCTTTAGTTAACAGTCCCACTCAGGTTAAAGACTCCTTTCCCTAATACTCTTTTTGTTTTGCTTCCTGGACCTGGCTCGACAACCTCTTTTCTTTCCACGCTTCTTCTTGTCCAGTCCTCTCGGTCCATTCTGCTGGGGGAGTGGTCTTTCCTTCCTCTTCCTAAAAAAAGGCCTATTTGGTCCATTATATTCATGGATTCCATTTCCATTAATTCTAGGGGATCCTTCTTCCCTGCATTCATCTTTTAAATGTGCATACTTGTTATAAATTGGAATAGGGCTTCTGTAATACCCATTTCTTCTCCATTGTTGACCTCCTCTTCCTCTATATCCCAACTCATTCCTATCCCAATTCATTTGTGGCCTCCTTTTGGTATCCATTCCCTTTTGGGTCTCCATGGTCATTTTGATGTCACCTCCGTATGTGGCCTATTTCCATAGCTGTCACCTCCTCTGTGCGTTGTTGTCTCGGTTCTTCATTCTTCTAGTGGGTTTTCCTATGTTCATTCCTCCTTTCTTTTTCCTCAATCCTAACCTATTTTTCAGGGGTGGAATTGCAGATGTATGGTCCATTTCTCCCAGTTTACTTTCCCACTTGAATACCTGATCTGTTTTGTAGTCATTAATATCGCGCTGGTGTTTTTTTTCCTGTGTTTCACTTCCAAAACCTGGCTAAATCTTTGTCAGTTGTGTATTGAGGGTCATAAATTCTGGCTAAACAAAGCAGATTTTTCAGGCGCTGTGACTTTTTTAGAAAACTTTCAGCCCTCCTAAAACCTTTGGCTTTCAGATACCAGAAACATTACACTTCTCCCCTTCTTCCTGACTCTTTTCCTGAATCAGAGATGGAACCTCCAAATTTATTTGAGGATGAAATTTGTATTTTATACTTTTCAGCATTAAGCGTCTGCTTTCCACATTAGCAAGGCGTGGTCTTCTGTTCACACATTCTTCAGGTTCTATCAGGTGAATGTTCAGACTTCTGTTAATAAGGGCTTTGGCCACAAGGTGCTTCAAGTTCCCTATCCAAGTGTTTTTTTTTTTTCAGTACTTATCCTTGTTTTCTTTAGGGCCTATAGGCAATTCTGTTTGCTATGCTGTTGCCCACCCCTCAGTTCATTGCTTGAGGACCTCCGATGGTCTATTAATACAATTTCTGTGTCCTGTACTGTTTGATTAAGATAAAGGGAATTTTGATTTAACTGTAAATTTCTTATCTTGAAGTACATTATAGGACAGCGGATCCTCCCCTCTGTCTTCTGTGGTCATTCCATACTTGATAAATGATGATATCCAAAAAAGATAATATATAATGTCCAAAAAATGTATTAAATTGTCCTCCGAAGAGACAATCCACAGAGTGACTTCCAGCAAAGCGATATTCCCAATTGTTTCTGGAGATCAGACCTCAAAGGAAAGAGAACTCACATAGTGTAATACCATAATACCATAAATATACAAGGGGATCTCAACGAACATCACTGCAAATCCGCACTCTGGTGAATCACACTAAACCACACAGTGATCACTAATAAAGGTGAGTATTATTGTGAACTTGTGCGTGAAAAAGTGATCATTTGTTTATGCAGTTTCATACTGTGAAAGATGTGTCCCATTCTAAGTATAAGGATTGAATACCCTTACCGTGGAGGTTAAATCCAGCATGTAAAATCCAATCTGGAAGAGACTGCCTTTGTGGATTCATAAATGGAATATAATCCATCCATCAAGGAACACTTAAGGATGAATAACACGTTTCGTCACCTGATTGTTATTTTCAATCAGGGTATACTTGATTCCCTTTTTATGAATAAGTGGTGCACGAAACGGGTCAAAAGGGAAGTGACGTCAAGACGCACAGCATAGCCGAAAGATACTGGACGGCCATCTTGGATCCTGGAATCCTCATTCAGAGGCGCAGAAGGAGCGCTGCTAAGGATCTGCAGAGGGTCTGGCTGTTTTATTGTTGTTTATGACTTTTGTTATTCATTAAAGTTTATCTGGTTATCGATGAGCCTATCATTGCTGGGTTTTTGGTGGCAATATCCAGAGTCAATTGCTTACAGGGAAGTAGTATTGGATGAGTCTTTATGAACTGCACCATTATAGCCTGTTCAGTGGCATTGAGTGAACCTATGTATGCATGGAGGATTAGTGTTCCATTTGCTGAATCCACAAGGCGGTCTCTTGATTGGGATTTTACATGCTGGTTTAAATCCACGCTCTGGTAAGGATATTCAATCCTTATACTTAGAAGTGGACACATCTTTCACAGTATTAACACTGCATGCAAATGTCACTAGCATTTTCACGCACAAGTTCACAATAATACTCACCTTTATTAGTGATCACGTGTGGTTTAGTGTGATTCACATGCGTTTGCAGTGATGTTCGTTGGATCCCATGTATATTTATGGTATTACACTATGTGAGTTCTCTTTCCTTTTTTGAGGTCTGATCTCCAGAAACAATTGGGAATATCGCTCTGCTGGAAGTCACTCTGTGGATTGTCTCTTTGGAGGACTATTTAATACATTTTTTTGGACATTATATATTATCTTTTTTGGATATCATCATTTCTTTTTTGGATATCATCATTTAGTATAGGATTCCTATAGGATTATTATATGTATTATGATATATTATTTATAGCAATCAGCACTTTTATACTTTGATTCATACACTTTTTGGGGTGAAAAGTGTTTATGTGCATTTAGGGTATCCAATATAGTAGGAACACCGAAATTTTACTTCTGATATTTATTGTCATTCCATGCTGCTTGCTAAAAAACTTATATCTCACAGACAGTGTTGTAAGGAACATGTCCTTAGGGCTGCCCCCTGCAAAGTTTTGGCTAGTGTCCAAACACCTGAAGGTAGCCTGCATATAACCCATAGTTTGTGAATACAATTACTGTGTCCTGTACTGTATTCCAAGTTAAGGAATATAAAGGTATGTAAAAATCTTTTTATTAGTTATATTTATTTTAAAAGTGCAAAAAATACCTGCTGAACCTTCCAGAAATTCAGTGCTGCTCTGTGCTCAGTAGGCTTTGCACAGTTTCTCGGCAACAATGTTATCAGCCCTGCCTAGTTCGCTTGTGTGAACTACAGAACCCCCCCCCCCAATGTTTTGGAGATGGAGCTGTTATGTAGTCCTAACACTTTCTGTTCTAGTGTCCTGCTCCTCCATTGATACAATATAGCAAGTGAGAATTGTCACCCTAGCACAGGAAGTGTTTCATTGTTAGCACCACCAAGTGAAATTAAAGGTAAAAAAATCCTGAAAACATTTTTTAAAAAGCCACCACATCCAAAGACTAGTAAACTCCAGAATATTAAATTTTTTCAGACTGTAAATATTCTTTAATCTACCTTTTTACTACATTTTTTTACAACTTTTTTGCAGACTACAAGCACTGGAGATAGATTATACCCATCTCCTACTTCATATATCCATGAAAACTACCTCCAGTTGTTTGAGTTTGTAGGGAAGATGCTGGGAAAGGCAGTGTATGAGGTAAGTTACCCTCTGTGATGTTTGTGTGGGGGAAAAAAACTTAATATCTGTTAAAATGACAATCAAATATGTTCTTATTTTAGGGTTTGTAGTAGATGTCCCCTTTGCTTCATTCTTCCTGAGCCAGCTGCTAGGGCATCATCACAGCATTTTTTATAGCTCTGTGGATGAGCTACCTTCACTGGACCCGGAGTTCTATAAGAACCTCACATCCATCAAGGTAAGTACTGCATAATGATAAAATGATTTGTGAAGTAGCTGAAACTGATTGCCATTATGATTATTTAAGTCTATCGATACAGACCACACACAAATACACACTGATCTCAAAATTTTCCATTCCATATGATAGATAAGTTCCAAATATGTCTAGGCCTAAAGTTGTATTCACTTGCAAAAACTGCGATAAACTGTAACTGTTGTTTTCTCAGAAAACTATTCTCATTTATCAATGCTGTAATTATAGGAATCATAATAAAAATAAACCTAAACCCCCCTTGCTTTTGTGCCTTGTTTCCCTCCGAACGAATAATATTTGTATATTGTGTTTTGCAGCGTTATGATGGTGATATTAGTGATCTGGGCCTCACACTTTTCATATGATGAAGATGTAATGGGACAGGTGGGTATTTTATGTAATCAGAAAACCAATTATCCTGCACTTGAGAGTGAATCCAGAGAAGTCAACTGACTACAGTCACATCCTGGTTGGCTTGAGTAGCTCCCGCCTTGCTGTTCTCATAAGACTGGGGAAGTCTAGGAACACTGTAACCATAAAACAAAACAGAGGGTGCACCGGCCTAGTGCATTATCCTTTTGTATTGTCAAAAAATGGTAAGTATTATACTCACAAAACAGCAAATGTCCCAAGCTCATCATGCAGAAACAGCACAGTCCAATCCACAATTCTTTGTGTCACATGATAGAGCAAAAGGACCTCTAATAGGCTAAGTTGGAGATCCTATTGCCCTGTCATGTGACATGACGAATCATGGATTGGACTGTGCTGTTTCTGCATGATGAGCTTGGGACATTTGCTGTTTTGTGAGTTTAACTACTTCAGCTCCACCCCATAGCAGTAATACTGCTACACGGCGGCAGCTGTGCACAAAATGCACAAAATATATATATATATATATATATATATATATATATATATATATATATTAGGGATGCACCGAAATTTCAGTGACTGAAAACAGAAAACACCCCTTTCGGCCATCGGCCAAAATGAAAAAAAGCAACGATACAGGTGCCGAAAAAACCCTGCCCCTCACAGTCGCTGCCACCCCTAGCCACCAGCCGGCCGCCGCTCGATAGTTCAGCCTTACCTGAAAAACCATCGATCCCGGCGCTGGGCATAGAGATTAGTGAAGGAAAGATGGCCGACACATATCTCTATGCCCTTGGAGGACTGGAGCGATGTCACTTCCCGTTCCGGCCATTTTGTTTTTATTTTTTTTAAGCACTAGATCAATGGTTTTTTTGATCCAATGTTTTACATTTCAGAGGAGAGATGTGGGGTCTTATTGACCCCATATCTCTCCATAAAGAGGACCTGTCACTAATTATTTCTATCACAAGGGATGCATGCATTTCTTGTGATAAGAAAAAGTGATTACAATTTTTTTTAAAGGAACAGTGTAAAAAAAAGCAAAAAAAGAAAACACTTACATTTTTTTTTTTAAAGTTTAAAGTGCCCCCGTCCCCCCATGCTCGCACATAGTGGTGAACGCATACGTAGGCCATGCCCACATATGTAAATGGTGTTCAAACCACATGTGTGAGGTATCGTCACTAACGTTGGAGCAAGAGAAATAATTCTCACACTAGACCTCCTCTGTAACTTTACATTGCTAACCTGTAGAAATTTTTAAAGCAACGCCCATGGAGATTTTTAAGTACCGCAGTTTCACGCCATTTCACGAGCGTGCGCAATTTTAAAGCATGACTTGTTGGGTATCTATTTACTCGCCGTAACATCCTCTTTCATATTTTACAAAAAAATTGGGGTATATATTGTTTTTTTTTTTTTTTATCAAAGTGTATTTCTTTCCAAAAAATATATATTCATTTTTAAAAACTGCGCATTTCGGTTTTCGGCCAAGTGCATTTTGAATTTTCGGTTTCGGCACCAGAATTTTCATTTCGGTGCACCACTAATATATATTTGCATTTCCGGGTAGGGGGCACACGCGCCCTACCCGTGCCGCCATTCACGGCTGCCGCTGTCAAGCACCAAGCCCTAGCCAGTGATTACTCGCTGGCACTCGGTGATTGCCGAAGATCTCCGACGGGAGGGAAAACTGTTAGTAAACAAAACAGTTCTCCTCCCTGTCAGCTCCAGCACACTGTTTTGCATGGCTGTGCACACAGTGTGCTTACAGTGAAGTACTAACCCAGGACACAAAGTAAAACAGCACATAGTTAACCCTTTGATCGCCTCATATGTTAACCCCTTCATGCCCAGTACCATTAGTACAGTGTCAGTGCTTTTTATTAGCACTGATCACTGTATTGGTGTCACTGGGGATGTCAGTGACACCAAGTCTGTTCCCCCCAGTGTTAGAATGCCCGCCGCAGTCCCGCTATAAGTCGCTGATTGCCGCCTTTACTAGTAAAAAGTTTAAAAAAAAGCCTGGTATATATACCGCCGCTTGTAAACACTATAACTTTCACATAAACCAATTAATTTACATGTATTGGGATTTTTTTTTTCAGCAAAGACATGTAGAAGAATACATTTTGGCCTCAATTTATGCCGAAATTTTTAAAATTGTTTTACTGGACGTTTTAATAGCAGAAAAATAAAATGTTTTTTTCTCAAATTTGTAGGTCTATTTTTTTTTTTTATAGCACAAAAAGTAAAAAATGCACAGGCGATCAAATACCACCGAAAGGAAGCTCTATTTGCAGCGAAAAAAAAAGAATGTAAATTTCATTTGGGTGCAGCGTTGCATGACCAGACGATTGTCGGTTAAAGTAACGCAGCGCCGTAACGCAAAAATTGGCCTGGTCAGGAAGGGGTACATCCTTTGGAGGGCAAGTGGTTAATACCACTTTTTAACAATGAAAACATGTTTTAAGGATAAAGCACTAGGCCGGTGTGCCCTCTGTTTTGTTTTAATGTTACAGGGTATTTTACGTAATTTGGTGTATTTGTGACGTGACAAACCTTCCAAACTGAAGTGCAATATAAAGAGATTGTATAATTGTCTTGCACTTTGTCATTCTTTACTATTTAGACAAATTAAATATTACATATAAATATTCAGTATTATTAAACGGAGTCAGCAGGTGAAGCTCTTGGCTCTGTTTCACATTTTTCAGTTTCTCCTTACCTCCTGCTGCAAAATGCTGTTTACAGAGTTCAATAGCTCAAGGTGAAATGCACTAACAAAGGTGAATTAGAAATGGCTCATCCCCCCTCCCGACAATTGAAGGTGAAAAGTGAAATTGGTTTTAAACTGCGGTTTACTCTGATGCATAAAAAAAGCTTTATTTTTCAACTTTAACATTTTTGTTTTTCTCAGCTGGTGTGTCATGAACTGGTTCCAGGAGGGAAATCGATTTCTGTTACTAATGAGAATAAGTAAGCACAGAGTTTATAGTAGCATTGACTATTCAAATTGATTGTGCTGTGTTGATGTTCCTCTAAATGTACGTTAAATACTCTGATAATGAAAGATAATAAAGGCCAGTCAGTCTGACTACTTGTCACAAGGAAAGGGTTGCTGGATTTTTTTTTTAGGACTTTAGCGTGGGAGCTAAATGGAACAGCACAAGGAGTTGTTATTAGTAGGACCTTTTCAGTTGACTCTCAGAACAGAAGTGGAGGGTGGAAATGCAGCTAAATTGATGTGATTGTAAACCCTCACCTTGTAAAACAACCCATTCAGTTTAAAATAGAAATGAAATGTAAAATATTTGTGTATAGATATAAAAAAAAAAGAGAAAAAAGGGTATTTATATTTTTTTTATAAGTGATCACTTTCCCTCTGTTCTCAGCTGCATAAGAGGTGGGGAGGAGAAACAGCAGTACACTAAACTTCCCAGTGAAAGGCTGTGCAATGAGCTGGGGTGTCAAGACAAGTCTAATCATTGGAAGAGAGCACACTGGGTTCCCAGCATAGCTAGGGAACTAACCAAGATGTGTTCTCCTGTTTAGTGTGGTCAGTTTTTAATAGGAAAGCAGAGGGACTGGCAGGAATACCAGGTATTTCACACACAGGAAGCAATACAAAGACCAGGATACTTTTTCATACAAGCACATGGTACAGCAGGCACATATCAGGAATATTAAATGTTCTGTTTACTTATTCTTTAAGTGTCAAATATTGCCGTTTAGAAGTCATACCCTTTTAACATCTTAAAGTGTAACTAAAGGCAATTTTTTTCATTTTGGATAGAGTAAGGGAGGGTTATCATCGAAAGTAAAAGAAAATCCTAAATTATGGGTTAACAGCGGAACAGTAAGTAGGAAAATCTTCCAATGGTGGGCACTAATTCTGGTGACCCACTGTCAGGTTTTTTTTTGTTTTTTTTTTTTGCCCACTGTGTACCATTGGGGAGATTTTCCTTTACTTCCTATCCCATATTTAAAACAGGATGTGAGAGAAAATCCATCCAAAGTGAGGGAATTTGCGGTGTCACCAGGTGGGTCACCAGAATTAGTGCCCGCCATTGGAAGATTTCCCCTCTTACTGTTCCGCTGTCAACCCAAAATGTAGGATTTTCTTTGACTTTCGATAACAGTAAACATCTTGATCTTGACTGTTTATTTTTCAGGATAAGTTACATTCACCTCATGGCTCACTTCCGAATGCACACACAGATTAAAAACCAAACCGCTGCACTAATCAGCGGCTTTCGGTCCATCATTCGGCCTGAGTGGATACGCATGTTTTCTGCTCCAGAACTGCAGCGTCTTATATCAGGGGACAATGCTGAGATTGACCTGGATGATCTGAAGTAAGTTAAATACATATGTCACTGAGGCATTTAGCATTACATTTCATTGTTCAAAGAAAGGTTTTATTTTGAACTAAATACAAAACTGTGATATAATCTGTGTGTAAACAGTTAATTTATCTGTACTGCTCCCTTTTTAGTCTGTTAAAGTGTATGTATAGCCATAAGCCAGTTTTAGATTTGAGAATTGTCACAGTCGCTACCAGTTTATTTTTTCTTGACTGTGTATCATTGGGGACATTTCCCTTCACTTCCTGTCCCAGAGATAGGAAGTTAGAGGAAATCTCCCAGAACAGGTGTCTGTTCTTATTTCTTGATCTGGGGACAGCTGTAAAATTTTGGATTTCTCCCCACTGTCTTTACCAGTAACAATGTTCAGCAGGACAAAGAGAGGGGCAAATCTCCCCAATAGGAACATCAGCGGAAAAAAATTTGACAGAGGATATAACATTTACCTACTTTCTCCAAAACTGAATAAAAGTGTTGCTTAGAGATACACTTTAGCCACTTCCCTTCCACCCACAGCCTATAAACAGCGGATGGGAAGCAGCGCTAAAGCTAATGTACTTGTACGTCACCGCACATCGGTGGCTCCTATGCAGCTCACAGAGCATGCACCCAGAAGCCCGGTGATCCATGTGTCACCTGGACACAGCAGATCACACTACTGCTGTGTCCTAGTGATCATATGGTGTTTTACCATGTGATTGCTGTATCCAATCACAGCAATTACATTGTAAATATGCCAAACCGAAAGTAAAGATTGGTTCTCTCTACTCTCACACAGATCGGCTGTGAGAGTAGAAAGAACCATTGCTGCAGCCTGTGAGTGTACACTGCCTGTCACAGTGCATGTTCACTCAAAGACTGCAGTGCTAACCAGCCCGTGTCCCTGATCACTCCCCCAGTGTAGTAATAAATAAACAATGCAGCTAGCACCTGTCACTTGTCACAATGTCACCAGTGCTCACAATAACATTGTCATACACTATACCAACGTTCTGATCACCACCATACCCCATACCAGCACCCTGAACACCGCCATACCAGAGCCTTGATCACCGTCATACACCATACCAGAGCCTGATCACCGCCATGTGCCATACCAGAGCCCTGACAACCATTATACATCATACCAGTGCCCCGATCACCACCATGCGCCATAATAGGGTTCTGATCACCCCATACCAGCGTCCTGATCACTGCTATACCCCATACCAGCATCCTGATCACCGCCATACACCATATCAGCGTCCTGATCACCGCCACACCCCATATCAGTGTCCTGATCACCACCATACCCCATACCAGCGTCCTGATCATTGGCATACCCCATACCAGCATCCTGATCATCGCCATACCTCATACCAGTGTTCTGATCACACCATACCCCATCTAGTGTCCTGATCACTGCCATACATCATACCAGCATCCAGCATTTTAGGGTCCCAGCTGATCAATTTTCAAATATATATCCCATAGTTTGTAGACTCTATAACTTTCACCCAGTGTTTATAATAATAAACACTGATTTGTATTTTTACCCAAAAAATGTAGCGGAATACATTTTGCCCTAAGAAAGATTATTATTTGCAAAATTTTACAACAAAAACTAACTTCCCCTGCAAGGCAATGTCACAATGTGCTAGTATGCATTGCATATTAGCACATTATGTGACAATTACCTTAAAACAAAGCCCTCCAATGGTGCGCTATCACCGCTGACAGGGCTTCCACCTTCACCCAGTCCTTCTTCCAGATTTGCGGGCTCTGGCGGCTTGAATGGCTGAGCCGCGATGATGTCACTCCAGTGCGGTTGCAGGGAGTCACTGTTTTTATCACACAGCTCTGAAGGAATGGCACTGGTATGCCGTTCCTTCAGAGCGCATGCGCCGGTGCTACTACACAAGTAAATATCTCCTAAACGGTGCACGTTTAGGTGATATTTACAGTACTTATAGGTAACTCTTATTATAGGCTTACCTGAAGGGACAAGCACACAAACAGGCTTTACTACCACTTTAAATACCATCAAAAGAAAGCTAAAAATTTCATATAGGTTCAGTGTTGCATGACTGAGTAATAGTCACTCAAAGTGTGACAGATGAAAACTGAATATTGGCCTGGAAGGGGGTGAAATTGTCGAGATTTGAAGTGGTTAAATGTAAACTGAAAGGATTTGCATTCATCTGTTTGATGAATGCAAAAAAATACTAAGTGATCTTGCAAGAAATCCAGTGCTGACCAGTGCTCTTTTTAGTGTTATCTCAGTTAGTCTTGCCTTTCTGCTTTGATACTTTTATGAACTACAGAACACTTCCCTTATGTTATGGAGATCAGGAGAGGGAGAATTGTTTGATAATTCTAACATAGTCAGCATCCTAGGGTGACAACACTGCTCCTCTATAAATACAGTACAGTGAGTATTGTCATCCTAATATTAATACCTGATCTATACGTGCTCACACTGTTTGAACATATTTTTGTTAACAGGAAGCACACAGTGTACTATGGAGGGTTCCATGGCAGTCACAGAGTCATTATCTGGCTGTGGGATATTCTAGCCAATGATTTTACCTCTGAGGAAAAAGCCATGTTTCTAAAGGTATGAGAGTATAACACAGACTTATCAATAATTCCCACATTACTTGTCTATGAATTTATGGCACTGTCTTTGTTGTTTTTTCTTTTTATTCAGTTTATCACAAGTTGTTCCCGCCCTCCTCTGCTTGGCTTTGCCTACCTCAAACCGCCATTTTCTATTCGCTGTGTAGAAGTATCAGATGATCAGGTGAGGAACTAATACATACTTTAGACTAGAGTACCTACATGATATCAAGCATAGATTGAACTGCATAGCCTCTGATATGATGTAATAATGATTACCACAGCTAGCTCATTGTGTCATTGTATCTTACGTGTTGGAAGCGTCAACACATGTACCAGTGTCTAGCTAGAGCTACAATGGTTCCTATGCACATTTTGAGTAACAGAACTATATTCATTTTTGGAGGTACCCTTACTCATTCTTTGTTAGAATGGCAGCATTCAGATCAGACAAAGCTCTGGCACTCTTTGCTAGTAACAGGGTTTGCCTACTCCGTCCTGTTTCGCATACATTCTTATTGGTAAGTGAGGCAGCCCACCATAGTGATAGGCCAATAGGAATGTTTGAGGGTAGGACGTAGAGAGGACAAGCTTTTAGAAAAACTTGGCTTCCAGGCAGAGGTATATTTACTACAAGGCATTTGCCTAAGGTGGCAATTTTCAGGGGGGCAGCACTGGCATATCTACATCCTTTCACTTCATACCTCCTAGCAGTTTAAATAGTTTGGAATGCACTCAGAAAAAAAACTTTATGTGAAGTAAAATGTACCTCTTTTCTATTTCTAGGATACTGGGGACACCTTAGGCAGTGTGCTGCTGCGTGGTTTTTTTACTATTAGGAAACGAGAGCCAGGGGGTCGTCTGCCCACTTCATCTACCTGCTTCAACCTTCTCAAACTTCCAAACTACAGCAAGAAAGCAATCCTGAGAGAGAAGCTCCGCTATGCTATCAGCATGAACACTGGCTTTGAACTGTCTTAGCACTTGTTTATGGACTTCATTGTTAATATTGTTTCTCAACGGTATGGATTCTCTGCCTTATGGCAGCACAGTGTATTCTATATTTGCTGTGGTGTCATCGCAGAGATGTCAGAATCACACTATTTTAAATATGCAGTTTATGTATATTGCATGATTTAAGTCCTCAGGTTGCAGACACTGGAGCTTATCTATGGATGTGTCTGAAAGCAGAACTATATGTGTTCACCCTAGCCTCCAGATTATTTCCTTCATGGGCTGTTCCACAATGGAAAAAGGCAGCTGTATTCTATAGGTTGCTATGGCCAACACTGCTCTTTGGGATGCTTGCAAAATAACTCCCAAAGCATTTTATTTATAAAATGAGCACAAAATTCCTCTATTTGAAATCTGTGACTTTCTTCTACAGTGTTGAAAAAATTATGATGTATTTTTTGAAGCCCAGATGTAGCCAAAACATTAATTTTTTTTTATTTTTTTTATTTTGACTAGCGTAAACCCCAGTTGGGTTTTTAATGCTGTATGTGACATTGTTGTCCTCAAAGGAAGCAATGTGGTTAAACCCAAATCACAGATTGAAGATATAAACCTTCTCAGCTCTACTGAAATCTCTGATCCCCGAGAAACTCTCCTGCCCTTATATTCCACACAGGAAGTTAGGATAAATCACCCTGTGAGGTCACAAACAGCAATAAAATGATAAAGATTCTAACCTTTGTCACCCTATCAATGGCAAAAAATGAAACTGCAATCATAAGCCATAAGAAGGACTTGTTAGCAGAATCTTAAGTTTGTTATTGGATACAGTGTTAGGCAAAAAAAAAAATATACATATGTTTTTAGCTTTTTATAAGGCTGAGTTGTCATGTAAAGACTTCTACATACATTTAGGACAATGCTGGTGTGCTAGTATCATCCTTGATGTAGTAAGTATATATTAACTAAGGAAAAACAGACATACCCAGGAATCACTACAAGCGATTAGTTATCAGTGGACAGAAACAGGAGGTACTGAGAGTTCCAAGGAGGGTACAGGAACTCGTGAAGCTCACAATGAAGGCAAGGAAATATCAAGTGGATGTTACATCGTCTTACTGTGTGTACATTTACTGATAAATATTATTTTAAGCTATTTATTGATATTTCAGTAAATGGATTGGAGCTGGCTCCCTCCTTTAAGTAGTAGTGTGGGCTTTATTTTGTTACTGTAGAAATATGTATTCTTCTCTGTTATGAAAATGTTCATAATTCATTCATGTGATCACCACTGAAGAGTCATGCCCACGCATTGTGTCTTATTTTTCCTGTTCTTTCAAAACTTTATTCATATTATCAAGAAAAGCAAGTTCCCATCTGTCTTTTTTTTAGTATACTATTTTGTCTTTCTTTAGAAAATTAGCTTATGTATGTTTTATCTCAAGCAACCCTAGGCTGCAAATGATAGTTACTCTATTCAACCATTTTTAGCCATTTTGGGCAACAATCTCAGGTCTGTAGAGTAAGTCAGAAACCCACCAGCCAGCACTTCTTAGGGGTAACTTAGTTGTACAGGTTAGGAAACCTGATCTGTTCGCAACTGACCTCCTTCCAGATAAGCAGTACTGGCAGCCCCCACCACCATCATCATCATCAAAGGAATAAATACAAATTCTTGGCTATGCTAGATCACCTCCTGCACTCCTTTGCCTAAGGGTACCTTCATCTATTGTAATTGGTCTGTGATCCTGGAGCTACAATTATGCTTTCTTTTGCACTGTTTCCTCAAAAGCATTTATTTTACTGAGATGTAAAAAGCAGTAGATCACCCCCCAGAAAAAAAAGGAAAAAATCATGTTGTTGGGTTTCCCCTTTTTGGTTATATGGCTTTGGAAGGTTAAAGCATAATTCCACCCAAAATAGAGTTTTATGTGAAGTGAGTCAGAGTTCAACCCCACTCCGGTCTTTACTGACCTGCAGTTGGATTTCACTTTCAAGGTCCTGACATGCTAACCTCAACTGACCTGTAGAAAATTCATTAGATCAAAAGGGATATAGAAATCCTCCATAACGCACCTCTTAGTGGAATCTCAGTAGTAATATATGAAAAACTGGAATGTAGCAAGACAACTGACACTATTCTACTTCTCCCAGAACAGAAATCAATCTTGAGTGGAGATACCTTTTAGATTCCAGCCATTCTGCACCTAGTAGTATATTGTGGTTGTAGGTTTGCACAATAAATAGTTGGCAATCTCAGGGCAGATGAGGAAAGATGAAGCTGGTCTACCTAATGTAGGCATTTCGGTTAGTGGATAATAATATACAGCATTGTCTTTCATTGATAGCCTCTCCAGTGCCTGTAATGGAAAGCATTTGTGTCAGTATATGGCTTTCTTGCTTTCTCCATCCAAACAAACCTGATACACTGAGTGCTTCAGACTGCCATAGTATTTTTTTTTGTTTTAGCCAGGTATTTTCTAACCATATATAATGACCTGCTGTAGCACATTGGGCTACAAAACAGTGGTTATGTTTTCAGGCCTCACCTTCTGACATATTTTTCATCATATATAAATGGCACAAATATCATAAGTAAAATTACATTATCATAGAACATAAATACATTCAAAAGGAAATATTTGCAAAACTTATCTGAAGCCAGTCTAATATCAAAAGGTGCTTTTATCTTAGTTTCATTAAAAGGAGCTTACCACTAACTGCTGAAGGGCTTAAATCTTCGAGTGCTAGATGTCCAGAAAGCAGCACCCTCTTACTGTGTAAAGAGGAATGACCTGCCGTCATTATCCGCTTGTAAAAATGCTACAAAAATAAATTATTAGATGATATACTGTAAAATAACACTTTATTGTGCTTCGCAATGTATTTAATGTCCTCTTATTTAAAATAAAGTACTTGTTTGCTATGTTCCCTTTAATGTGCCTAAATTAATATATTCAGATCTTGTGGTACTTTAAAGATACACCATCACCTTGTTTTCATTCAGAACAAAGCAACATTGTCTTTGTGTATGACCCCCCTAATTCCTGATGCTCAATTTGTCAGCATTTCCTCCATCACAGATGGTACTAAAATCCACATTGTTGGCTGCAGTCTGACACTAAAAGGAGCAGTGGTGTTACATCCTCAGGCATGTGACAGTGCTTGGGCCTAACAATTGGATGCTAAACCTGACCACTCTCAAAAGGGGAAGATCACATTCTTCCGCTATACCCAGAAGCACTGGGTATTTTTTTTTCGCCAGAGGAAGGAGTGATACAGATAAATGGGTTTTAAACCAAATTTAGGTACTGATAAGGTCACGGCAAAGCTGTAAATGTATTTAATTGGTGTAACATATCTTAACGTATACATTTACATTTTGGCCAAAAATAATAAATGCACATTTTGTTGCAGTTAAAAAATGTGCATTTATTATTATTGGTTGCAGGAGGCTGTAAAGCATTGTACCAGAGATCAGTAGATCGCTGGTGCCATGCAGGCCTCCTGCAGACCTGTCAGTATATTTGCTTGCCTGTACAGGATGTACAGGCAAGCAGATATACTGAAAGGAAGATTCAATTAACTACCATGGCGCTCCACAGTGCTGTGGTAGTTCATTGAGAACTACAAGCCTACAAATTCTGACTTATCGTTCATTCTCAGAACACTGTGAATAAATGATGCGACCGTGTGGACGGAGCCCCTCACAGCTGCGCTGTTGTTAAAAAGTGACAGCTGGTACAGGGAACTTCTCCCCGTACTTCTGTCACAAGGGGGGTGGGGATCGGACAGCATTGGGAACATGTTACATGTTCCACCCTAAAACAGGTGGAACATGTAGCATGTCCCCAAAAGTGAACTTATCCTTTACAGTAGAGCTATACTTACCTTCACTCCAGTGATGCGATGTCCCGGACCTCCCAACTGGCCGCTGACATCTTTAGACAGTCAGAATTCAGGTACCACTCCCCAGCAGCTTTCATTGGCTGGGCCAAGATGATGTCACTCCTGCACATGTGCATTCATTTCGGCATTGTACAATATAATGGGCTGCGTGTGTGCAGCTCATTGTGCAGGGGCAGACAGGCACGTAAGCACTTCTCTTCTGCATTAAAAATCCTGCCTGTTCCCCAACTTTATAATTTTTTTCTTAAATTTCCTCTTTATTATACCAGAACCAATACGATGTTATCTCCCTCATTAATTATGATATATAAATAATGTTGGAAACCTCTTTTCCTGGTTTATACAAGTACTGTGTAGTGCATTTGGGTTGTCTCTGGGACAAAAAGTAAGGAAAAAGCCCTTTGATGAAGCGGTGTTGGGAAGGGGGGGGTGCTCACACTACAAAGGTAGTTTTGACATTTCCCCTAACTGCAGCTTTAATAATGCATGTAAAATGCAGGAAACCACAAGTGATAAGATGTGAGTCTAGGCTAGGAGCTCACAGACCCATACACCTGTGCAGGGGGGGTGTTTATATGCCCAGGTGATCCATGCAATCATCTGCAGCCAGCCTGTTAAAATCAATGACAGGCTGACAACTGGCTAGATTTTTACTGATCTTCATCTCTGAGTTAACATCTGTGTAGTACTGGTGCACAGCTCTGAATGCAGTCTTTGCCACGTGGGCAGATAAACATGGTCTTCTGCACAGGTGTACAGATCCATGCACCTATGTGCATGAGCCTTAAGACAGCATGTACAGCTACTGCCCTATTTAGTTAAAGTGGTATTAAACCCCAAAACAAAAATGTATTTATTTATATTGTAGCCTATCAATTCGTAAAGGTGATGGGTGCATTAGTTTTCTTTTCTAGCCTTTTTTCTATTAGCCCAGCTATAGACATTTCAAGTCTCCACTGGTTCAGCAGGAACTGCACAAGATTCAAACCATGTGTGGGCAGGCTGAATGTACCAAGTTGATTGATTGATTGATCGATTGATCGATCAACTTGGGTACAACCAGGCTGCAGGAGTTTACCTGTGATTATTGGTAGCGGCTTCTCCTGGCAGGGACTGCT